AGCCACTTAAACTGCTCACCCATGTTGTAGGAGATCTCCGAGTTGAAATGCGTGACGACACATAAGCTGATGTTGTGTTGCTATGATGATTCATATGAGCTGTATATGTGTAGTGTGCTGTGTAGCTGTGATTGAGCTGTATGTTGTATGTTAAATTTGTTGAGAATGATGATGTTGCTGTTGAGTTGAAAGCTGTTTGTAAATATACTATATGTTGATTTCTTTTCACTAGCTTACCCTTGCATGTTTCCATGTGGGTTGGACTGCAATGATCATACTGGGAGCATAACAGGGAAAGGCTGGAGTGTAGTAGCAGGACTACAGGTGGTAGCAGGAGCTGACTTTTTGTGTTTGGGCTACTTGGTGTAGCTATTTTGTTAGTATTGGATACTGACTTGTTGTGCCCCAGGCTAGACATATGTATATATATATTTACTCTTTTATATGCATACTCTATTCTTGTGTGGTGATGTTTTGTTGTGTGATGGCTAGACAGGTCGTTACATGTATAAACATCACTTGGTTGACAATTTAAGATTTTTATTTTCACATTTTTTGGATTACTGTACACACATATAAATATTGTCTCGTATATGTATGTGTATGTGTGTATATATGCATATATCTAGGTTAGATTAATATATTAATCACAAATATTTAAAGTAGGTTTTGTTACTTTTGTTGAGTAATTATGTAAGTGTAATGAACAAGATGCGTAAATACAAATAATTTACTTAAAACTTTCTTATAAAGTTTGTGTCCTAAAATAAATTAATTCTAATACACCATTTTTTATTTTATCTAAAAATGATTTAACAATGTCATTTAAAAAATCAATTTAAAATGGTTGGTAGTTTTTACTTTTCTTGCTTGGTAGTTTTTACTTTTTCTTTTCTTCTAAATGGTTGTTTTAAAAATTGGCTTAGACTGACCAATTAGACCGAAAATCGATGGTCTAGTCGATCCGAGTCTTGAGTTAAATCGATTATACATTTGATCCAGTACAAATCGGAGTGAACCGGTCAATTTTTCGATTCAACATTGAACCAAGGATCAAACTGGTTCAACTACAAAAATATTTTTCATCACTTTTATCAAACATTACAATAACCACTTGTTCTAATATATTTATGTGTAGTATTTACAACTTAAATAATATTCATGGTATATTATTAATTTTAAATTATATATTTAATAATATATAGATATTATATAAAATAATATATGATATCAATTACAAGTATATTATATATATACATATTATTTATATTTTAAATTTATATTAATATACAATTTAACATATAATTTTTTCATGTATTTCTTTGTACAAAATAAAAATAAAGATAATTTTAAATAAGATAAAAATTAAAATTTAAAATACTATATAAATTTATTAAAATTTATAAGTACAAAATATATTTAACATAAATATTTCTTAAAAAATTAATAAAAATCAAATCATACAATTTAATTATTAATCTATCAATTCAATCTATAACACGTTGATCTAATACTCTAATCAATTTAATAATCGGTAATACTCTAATCAATTTAATAATCGGTCCGACTTTTAAATCTATGGGTGGTCGGCTTCCATTTTCCAAGTCTCATAATTTCTCATTACTTTTTACTCGGATTTCATTTTCTTATAGGTCTGCACTTTCCTGGTTTTCTATACTTTCCACCTTCACCCCAAAATTGAAGTTAATTCACGGGTCCCCCACTAGCCCCTAGCTAGCTTATAAAAATGAAGTTAACCAACAATCACGATTTTCCACAAATAATACTCCTACTGACTAGGAATCCGTGAGGGCACGGACACATCTTTTATTCACTGATTTCAGAGCAAAATAATTGTGTTTGGGGAAAAAATATATTGATCCTACTTTTAGCTGTTTTAATATGAGAACAAAAGCTATTGTTATTTAAGATAATAATTTAAATTTATAAATTATTCTTAAAAATTAGTTGTTTTCTTAAATTTGAAAAATGTTTTTTAATAGTTTTTTTTCTTCTCAAGTTAATTATCTTATGTAACGTCATGATCATTATATTATGTGAAATCATTACTAATAACAAAAACTAGTCTATTAAAATTATAAAAAGCTTAACTAACAAATATATAAACACACATATAATATAAAATATAAAAGTGCAACTATTGTACTGATATAAATCATATACATGAATATACAATAATCTCAAAGATAAACTATATAATTTAGTATTTGTTAAACACACATATACAAGTTACACAAAGCAGCGCTAACACCAATAAAAGTAGCCTTCAACCACCAATCAGGCTTCGCTTATATCTCCTCAGTTGCCTATGCACTAAAACATGTCATTCCTATCTGTTCAGCACCCTTGATCGTCAATGCACTTGAATGTGTACCCTCAACTGCGTATGCACTTGAAAGTATAGTTTTAAAAATTAGACCGGTCATTAAACTAGTTAAGGTACTGGGTCAGTTGGTTAAAGGTTAAACTGGTGAGTTACTAGTTAAATCGCATGACTCGATTTTTATTATTATTTTTTTAAAATATTCATGTTAAATATATTTTATACTTATAATTTTTAATAAATTCATATCTTATTTTAAATTTCATTTTTTCTATCTTATTTAATATTATTTTTATTTTTATTTTGTAAAAAAATACATAAAAAAATTAAATATTAAACTGTATATTAATACAAATTAAAAATATAAATAATATGTACATATATAATATGCTTGCAATTGATATCACAAAATAATATATGTAATATCTACATAGATATTATATTATTAAATACATAATTTAAAATTAATAATATACTATAAAAGTTATTTAAGTTGTATATATTACAAACAAATACATTAGAACAAATAGTCATTGTTATATTTAATAAGACTTTTTGCTCTTCCATTAAGAGATTCAATTTTCATTATTATTTTTATGGTTTATGTTTCCTTAAAAAATAAAAATAAAAAATAAAAAAGTGTGGTTGAACCATTTTGACTCACCGGTTCACCGGTTAAACCGAAAAATTGACCGGTTCAATCCAGTTTGAAACGGGTCGATTGCATAACCGACTTAACTTAAGATTCAAACCGACTGGACCACCGGTTCCCGGTCCAACCGATCCAACTAGCCGGTTTGATCCAGTTTTTAAATCACTACTAAAAGTATAGTTCATACCAGCTTAGCACCCTCAGTTGCTATGCACTGAAACATACAGTTCCTATCCATTTAGCACCCTTGATTGCTAATACACCTGAATGTGTAGTTCATACCCGTTCGACACCCTTGACGGCCTATGTCCCTAAACGTATAGTTCATACCTGTTAGGCACCCTTAAACGCCTATGCACCAAAAACACGTAGTTCATACCTCTGACACTCTCGGTTGCCTGTGCACCAAAACGTGTAGTTCACACAAGTTCAACATTCTTAGACATCAAAGCACCTGAGCATGTATGCTCATGCTCGTTTGACATTCTCGAATGTCTTACACCATGAAATCATATATTCAAGTCATCCGACAATTGAAAATAATGAACAATTGCTCATTGTACATCAAGATAATTAGAGTAAATAAACTTAATAATGATACAACGATGTATTACCTAATTAACAACTTCTAACCAAGGCCCATTAAAATTTAAATTCATAACGATTAGTATAAATAGTGTCGTATATCAAGGGAAATTATTATTCACCATATATTCACATTTATTAAATTGAGCGAGATAATTTCTTAAGCGTCAAAGTGTTTTTTTTTGCATGTATATCCCCTCTATATTACTAGAAGATTGGTCTAGAGAGCAAAAAGCATAGAAGGCATCATAAAAGAAAAGTAAAAGGTATTCTTACACAGGTACACTTTTATTTAATAAAAAAATATCTTTTAATTCTTTAAAAGAAGTTTGAATTAAGAAAAAAAATCCAACGACTCTTAATACTCATTGAAATATTTAATAAAATACTAAACTATAGTAACTCATAAAAATTATTAAAGTTTAAATATTTTTTAGTCATTAATTTACTTTAACTTTTAGTTCCTATAATTTAAAGTAAATTTGTTTAGTTTTTATATTTATCTTTTTTAATTTTTTTTAGTCTTTTAAAATAACTTTTTTTTTGTCTTTATACTTACAGTTTTGTAATAATTTTAGTCTCTATTAATTTTTTAGTTGTAACATTCTATTTTATATTAACATTGTAGAGGTATTCAATTTTGAAAGAGTAAAACAAAAAAAAAACTATAAAACGTCAAGAAACTTAAATTAGAGTAATTCTAGTAAAATAAATTTGACATCAAATACACAAAATTAAATTAATATCTTTATCATATCAATAAAAAAGAAACAATGTTACAAAAAAAAAAAAAAACTAACAACAGAAATTAAAAGAATTAAAAATCTCTAAATATATAATAAAAATGATCTGTCTTAAACTATAAAAATAAAGGTGATTAAAAAGATAAAAATAAAGACTAAAAAAAATATTTTAAATTACAAAAATTGAAAAATAAAATAAAATAAATCAAGTAGATTGTTTTTTTTTAACAAAATATTAATCACCACACACATAATATCCGTCAGAAAAGAACTAAAATAGTATCCCTACCTTGTAATTTCTTCCCAATCTGTCACTATCTTTTGGCCCTTTGATGCCTTCCATCTCATGCAAAGGCTTCCCCATTGCCATTCATCAGCGTCGGTGCCCGAGCTTGCACGAATCCCTATCCTCATCTAATCCAACGCTCACAACTCAAAGAACACAAACCCATAAAAGAGGAACGCTACACGACACTCTAAATCCATCTCCAACAATTCCCTCTTTTTTTTCTTCAACTTTTTTATCATCATATTATTTTATTAAAAAATATTTTTTTTTTTATTTTTAATAGAAAAACTCTCCACAACTCCTCTAAACATACTTTTTTATTTAATACCTCTTTTTTCCGTTTTGAAATCTTCTAGGCATCTTTCCCTCTCCTACTCTAGTCCAACAATAACAAACTGACTTTACAATGTTCCCCAAATTAAAATATTCCTTCTTTCTAATCTTTCCCTTATTTTGACCATCTCCCTCTCTTTTCCCTTCCCCTATATAATGTTTCCAACCCCCACCTCTCTCTCCTCATCTAGTCATCTTCCCCCTCAACCAATTCCCCACAATCTAGTTTCATTTCTTGTGCCCCCTTTACTTATATTTCAATAAATGGAGGAAACTTTGGTGATGCCAAAGAGGCCTAGAGAAGAAGCCCAAGTGGAAAAAGGCTTGGACTTTGAAAAGGAAGAAGACTACACCAAGAGGCACAAACCATACAACCACATCCTCTCACTTCTTGATTTGGAGGAAGAGGAGTCAACACAAGACCTCTCTCCTCTCATGACAACCCTCCAAAAGGAAATCACTTGTGCCTCTAACAACACCTCACATGATGATGATACCCTTTTGTTGTGCCCAACTCATGGAAATGACCAAGAGACCCTCACAATCACTACTTTAGAGGACAACACCACAACCTCACAAGAGGAGGAGAGTGACAAAGAGAGGGTCATGAGACATCTTCTTCATGCCTCTGATGATGAACTTGGGATCCCAAGTAGTGGGGATAATGATGGGTTTTTTGGGCTTGGTGAAGATAGGGTTAATAGTGGAGATGGCTTTTCTTCTTTGTGTGATAAGTTGTGGGAGCTTGAAGATGAGAGAGCTAACTACTATGCTTTCTTGCAATCTGAACTATTCCTTGGGGGGCATTAGGAAACTGAAAAATTATTATCAACTAGGTGATAACATATTAGGATCAAAGATGGAGAATTTTTTCTTTTCTTCTTTTCTTTTTATTTTATGTAGTTTAATTTTTTAAAGCTTCTTTTGTAAAGACCACGGGAAGCATATGACTCTATGTTGTCATTGCTTACTATCTACTGTTAAGCAGTGCCACTTTTGCAGGTCAATCGGTACTTCTGCCCTAGAAAAATCAACTAGATACATTAAAAAAGTAAGAGTATTAGTTTTTTTTTAATTCTTAATTTGTCGTTGTCTTTTTCTGGTTCCAAGATTCGATTGAGTTGGGGAATACGGGTCGGCTTTTTTGCTCCGTGACCAAAACGGACTCTATTAAAGTTGAAAGGATTGGACCACAAATAAAGTTTAAATAAATAAATCTTAAATTTTATAAAATTTTGATTTTTTAATATTTATTAATTAATAATAAGTTAAAATTTATAATATTATGCGATAAAGGTGGAAAAATTTATAACCAAGCATGATATCACTTGATAAAATGTATTTCATTCTCTTCATAATAAGTGTAGTGTTTCTTTGAAAAACAATAATTGTTTAACTTAAAAAAATGTTTTAAAATAGATGTCATTTTTAATTTTTTAATGTAATAATTATAACGACTTTGATAGGCTTTACATTTTATAACTTAACAATTAAGCTTTGAAAATAAATAATTAAATTAATTATATTAGAATTATCATATAGTAGTATATAAACATTCATGCAACAAATATATTTATAGTGTGAAAATCATAAAAATAAATTTTACTAATTTAACTTAAAAGCATAAAGTTCTTTATTAGGTTACAATGAAATTTTGTACATATATTCAAATATACATTTATTATAAGATACTGAATACATAAATCTTAATGCTAATCAAACATTTACTATATATAAGTTACATTAGAGTAGCCTCTAGCAAAAAAGTGTCATCTCTAGCATGATATTCAAGTTGATAGTCCTTAAGGCTAATCATACCCTACTCTCATAATAATATGATGATTATCGCAACCCAACAACATAAAATGCAAGGGTGAGTTTATGTATGACAAGGCAACATATAATATAGAAATAGAATACTACTATATATATCAACAACTTCATTGCATCTACACTACAACAACCATTTTAACTTATTATCACACAAATCAATTTATCATCTTCAACTTCTTATTAACACATTTATGCAACTATATCAGCATTGCACCACATATCATCATCTCAGTTTACAATACAATTATGAACAACACAACAACTCACAACTCAACAACTTAAAACAACACTACAAGATAGCAACATAACAACACAATACCTCGTCAAACAATTCAACTAAGAGTTATTTTACAACATAAGTAAATAGTTTAAGTAATTTGACTCTATCGAACCAAAATTAACAGTCCAGCCTTTTTGGCTTACTAAGTTAGCAGAAAATTAGGATATTAATCCACAACATAGCACGATTTCTCAAATTTTGTCACATAAACTAGGAAAGTTTGATACCCGTCATTAGGAATAATATAGCTTGGATATAAGTCCACCACAACATTGACATGCATTAACCACGTCACCTATTGGTACAACCATGATACCACACACCTTTCCAATAACTAATTAAGGATTTTATCCTTCGATTTCATACCTTATTCAAATAATAACTAAGGACATGAAAAAGAGACTTAACACTCTACTTCAAGAGACAATAATACTCGATGAGGGTTTTTCAACATCCAGGCTCTTAGAACATCACAACATGCGACACCCTCTACCTCGCATACCATAACATATAAATAATAAAAATTGAATACTATAAATCTTTATAAATAAAACAAATGTGTTTGGATAGAAAGCATCACAATTTTAAACTTAAACAAAATAACATCATTCAATTGAAACTACAAGGAAATAAAACTAATATTTTTCAAAATAATTCAACAGAAGTAACATCCTAGTTAAGCCTAACTACGCTTCGATGTCGCATCCTATTAGAGCACAACCAATCATTGAGGACTAGGCCTTATCATCAGCATCATCAACCTCATGTTGATGGCCACTTGCATTACAAACAAGGAAAACAACACAAAGCAAAAGGAGTGAGAAACATCTCACTCTAACTCATAGTACAAGAATACAAACTGACTAGTTAAACACAAACAATGCATACAACAAAATACAACATATACAATAAACATTATCAACATAAATATTCAGTAATAACATGATAAATAATAACAAATACATTATAATGCATTATGAAATGGACACGTACTACATATCAACATATATGTGACGCCAGTAAAAACATTACACTTGTGCATTGCTGCTAGCAATACACTAGAGTAGTCTAGGAATATATGCTGAGTCACACTCTCTGCACACTCTCACTAGAAGGACATATTACAAAGATCTAGTCGGGATAACTAAGTCACGCAAGATATATTCCATGCACACAAAGGGTAGGACTGAGACTTCCAAATTGAGTTATCCCCAAGGATTGATCCCCAAGCTTTTACACAATGAAGTCTTCCCTCAAATAACACTTTTATGCATATGTTGCATGTCAAACAAACTCAATGCATTACATTTACATGGTTCCGTAGTTTCACATCTCACATATTCCTCATATCATATTACTCATCATATCATATTACTTATCATTCATATGGATATGTTCATATATAGGCATCAATTCACATCCACATCAACTTCATAAGACAAAATCACCACATGGAATTTGACAAAAAACATAATACGAGATTTGTAAGCAAGATGAAGCCCAATGACACACGTCTTGCGCCCAATGTGATACCTCTAGAAGATCACATTAGTATCTGTTGGATCACACTCAACATGATTGAGCCCACGCACCGCAAGAACACAACCAAAGCTCTCTAGGGTGTCTACATCTAGCGTTAGCCAACTTACATCCAATGAAAGTGTCACATGGAATCCTTAGAGCTTATGCACCCAACGAGGGTCATCCCACACCTGACGTTAGAGACCTCGAGAGAAAACTTTGCTCTTGACCTCGATAATGCGCAACACGCCTCAAGTGACGCTCAATGACATATCAAAAACAACACGCACAGTAAAAAATATAAAATTTTGAGTCACATTTCAAATCATCAAAACACACAATTCAATCGATAAACATGTTCTATAACACGCAATTAACATTCTATATTACTCAATTTACACATGCTACTAATATCTTTACACAATTATCATAACAAGTTCCCTTAGGGTTTCCTATAGGAACCCCACAGGGACCTCAAATCATACAACTACAATCCAAAATATACAATTGATTAATCATTCCAACAATTCATGTCATTAGTTATGTACAAAAAGAACTAAAAGCAAAACAGACATAATTGGAAAAAATCTCTTATACATGAGTATATAACATACATGCCCATTATCCAACATACAAACTCACACCAGAGCAAGGTTTCTCACTTCTCCCTTACCTTAATTAGCAAAAAAGGATGGATGATTAACTCTGAATTGGTTCCCTTCTTACTCTTGGTCTCTAAACTCTAAGCTAAAAAAGAATAGCACGTACGTAAAAAGAAGGAACAAATAAATTCTCCGACTCTAGTGCTCCTTTCTCTAACCTCTCTCTAAGTTTCTTAAGAAAATGAACTTATAAAGTTATAAATCTTAAGAAAACCTTATATTTATTCTCCTAATTAACTTGGTCAACTTTGACTTCGACTTAAAACAACTTTTAAAATACTAAACTCATAAGAATTCCTTAATTCTTAGAGTTTTTAAAACATTTAGAACGACAAATCATATAATCATTTAGTTGATAAAAATAACTAAACAATCATAAAGTTCATAGTGTTCCAATATTAATAACCTCTTTTTCATTTATACGTCTCATAGTATTTAGAAAGTGATTATTATATTATTTCGTTTTCAACAATTAGATCAATTATAAGATTTATTTTATAAAATTGTTATTTTTTCTATTTATTAAATTTTCTTTATTTGTGTAAAACAACTTATTACTGACATTTATTATAAAGCAAAATAAGATTTTTGGACTCTAAATTTTTAAGTTCAAAATCGAATGCAATTTTTTTTTAGTCCAGTAATAAAATGAAATTTAGGGTTTGTGTGGATATGTTAGATTCAACTATTTTGATTGGTTCGGATTGCCTTTTGCTTCTTTTTTTTAATTATTATTTTTTATTTGAGCTACATATATTTATAAGTTTATAGGGCCTTTGAAACATTCATTTATTTAACTTTTTTTGTTTGACATACATAATTTATAGATTTAAGGTATGTTTTCCAAATTACATTTTGTATTTTTAAGTTATGTATATTTAAACTGACAGAAGATATTTGCAATGCTTACATTTTCATAAGTCATTAAATATGTAGGTATCCTTGTTGTAATTTTTTACGAGCATTTTTCATATTAAAATAATAATTAAATATATTTTTAATCTATATAAAATGAGTTATTTGAATTATAGTCCTTTTCTATTTTTTTCTTCATTTTCATTCATCTATAATTAATAATTATTATTTTTCTATCTTTATTATTATTTGACATTTATTAATTATTTATGTGTTCAACAAAAAGTTAAGTGACCATTTTATGTGATAACCATTGGTATATATAGTACTATATTAATATGTGATACTTATAAAAAAAATTATATTATTTAAAATTTATTTTATTTCTTAAAATAAATATTAAGGACCAAAATTAGTGATATTAAATTTTGTGTTATATAATATATGAGTTAAGATCTATTGATATCATACTCAAGATGGTGTGTATTAAATTTTACATAATTCAAAAATTATTTAATAGTTCATCACATTACTTTATTTTAATGTATAATATGATATTTAAAATATATCTAAATATCTATTTTTAAATGATATATCTAGAAAAATTCAAATCATGTGAAATTTGATATACACAAACTTAAATATAATATCACATAATTTAATAATAAATCAGTTAAATTTACATTATACAAAAAGTTATTGAAAATACAATATTTAGTAAAAACTTATTTTTAGATTTGCATTTGGTATCAATAGATCCGACTCATATTATATATTATATAAAATTTGAATTCAACATATTACATTGTGTTATATTATATTATTAATTAAAATATTAAAAATAAATAAGTATTATTCAAATATTTTAAGCATAACGTATCATAGATAATTAAATCCTTATATAGTAAATGTAAGGTTGTCAAAATTAAACTAACAACTGTGAGA